AAAAGAAAAAGAAAAAGAAAAAGAAAAAGAAAGTTCACATTTTTCAAGATACTCAACTGAAATTTAAATTTTAAACGCCGCCTACTGCGAATGCACAAACAGGGTCAATATCAGAAAAAGTTATCAGAAAAAGTTATTTGAAAAAGTTGTTCCGAATATTATTCTAACCCCACATACCAAATATCATGACAAAATTCGCATTTGTAGTTTTTTCATTATTTTGGTCAATACACAAAATATTAAAAGTTGATTTTTTTAAATGCGGACACACTGTATATGATTTTTTGGTGATTTCCAAAATAAGGGTACGTTTTGACCTTAGTGGTTTACCCCACGAGACATGGATTTCGGAATTAAGCTTACAAACTACATTCCATCGAGTTCTCTCTTCTTTGACGTTTGGAAGACGTTGAAGGAAAGCTTTTGGGGTCTTTTGAAAAGTATTAATGGTATTATACAAATGTCGAGGGGTATTCAATGGGAGATCTGCGGTATGGTGAGATGGGAGCGACTCGGTTTCTTGTTCGACAAATGAAGGGAAAGAAGTATAAAAAACGGAGACTTGCAAAAAATAAGAAGGTTCAAAATAGCGTTATTAATATCATGAAATAGTCGAAGAACGCCTCCCTTAACTCCCCCATTTATCCAATCCAATATTTGTTATTATTACTAGACAACTAGAAATAATAATATGAAATTATCTTTGTCTCCAGATAAGAAACATATTCTTGTACTTTTTTATATCCATAAAATGTTTATATGACAATTCATACTTTTCATTGAATATGTTGTCACACTCAATATGTCGTACCTATATAATATAATACATATAAATATTGTTAAAAATTTTTCCTTCCTAGTGGATATAGACGCGAGGCCGATAATTATTACAATTTCAGTGCAAGGCCAAGTGATGTGATCGTCAATACTTTTCCTAGATCTGGTGAGTAATTAGAATAAGGTTAGATTAAATATAATTATAGACAATCGCTTGCAATGAGAGCAGTTTTGCAATACATATTTTATTCTTGTTATACACTTTGAATAAAAGATGAACTATATTCGGTATAGAAATAGAAAGCATGGAAAATGAGGCTGAATTCAATTTATTGTAATGTATTTCATTTCAAACGCAAATATTTGAAAAATACTCAAACTATTTATCTGCACCGATAACGCCCTTGATGATAGTGTGAAAGTGTTATAAAGTGCTTAAATAAGATTTTTTTTTTTTGATAAAAATGACAAAAAACTATTTATAGACCGTCAGATACATACATACATACATACATACATACATACATACATACATACATACATACATACATACATACATACATACATACATACATACATACATACATACATACATACATACAAGCCCCGAGAGTGTTAAAATGTATATCAATGTTGAGTAGAATAAAAGAAAATTTAGAATTGGCTCTTGGAGATAAATCACGGAAAATTCGATTTTCCTTAACAGAAATATTTTCCGACCCCAAAATGCACTTATCCATTCGGGTCATTCAAGCCTATAACATTTTTCCTTACAATATTAGGCCATTATTTTAACTCTTTAACCACCTAAAGCCTAGTTCTATTAGTTAACCATTTAGTGAACATGGCTTGCGTGAAAATATGGGCAACAATTACCTTTAATTTCTGTTAAGGAAAATCGAATTTTCCATACGTTATCATCAGGAGCCACTCGTAAATGTACATTTATTCTATCAAAAATCGATGTACTTTTTAACCTTCTTCGAGGCTTGTATGCGAAAATGGACAACCAAAACCTGTCACTATCTGACGGTCTGTCTATTACCACTATAGAAAAGTTATCGACAATTTTTTTGAACTAAAATTTTACATAGTCACATTTTACAATTTACTTTATGTTTGTTATTTGTGACTATGAAGAGTAGAGGAAAGGAGGACAATCTTATATGGTTGTTTATATCAAAAACTATTCATCAAAATGTATAAAATTAAGATAGCGCTCGTGTACTAGAAGGATAAAATCCAATGATATATAGTCATAAAGACTGCTCTTTCATATGTAAATCAGACAACGAAAAGCGAGGCGCCACTAAAAGGGATTATTGGAGGCAGTAAAGCAGTTTTGCGAATGGTATTGTCAGTGGATACTCAAAAGTTGGAAAAACAAGTCGTTGAACTCAAATAGAAAAATAAAGCAAAATTACTTTCCAGCACAAAGAGTCCAGCTTGAATTAAATTATTTAATAGCCGTAGCACTTAGCGCTTTATATATGTAGTTGGTTATGGTATCTAGAACATTTTACAAGTATAAAATGAAAAACCGATTTTTTGGCACTTAGCACATTATTTAATTTAAGCCTTCAATTGTGATTGATAATTAATAGGTTTAATATATCTCTCGTTTTATGTTTTTGATGAATAGCGTCGAGCACGCAACGGAAGAAAAAACAAAGGTCGGAATGAGTCTTAATGTCTGTGGTCTCGATTGTAACTAGCAATTGTGTGTCTCGTCGTGATTGGCTGAGGGAAAATCTCACGATGTTTTCTCGTGATTCTTTTTGCAGAGAAACATAGCGTATTTTTACCTGCACCTGTGCTCTTGCCATGGAGTTATAAGGTACCTTCTACCTCCATGGCTCTTGCATTCAGCGTTGCCAGTCTAGTACAATTTTACTAAATCTAGTACATTTTCTAATAATCTAGTACACTCTAAGCAAAATCTAGTACAATTTTTCAACGTGTTATCATTTGGGTTCCTACTCCTGGTTTTGTTTTCATTCGGTAAAACCCTTTTTTCCTTAAATAACCAAACCATATCACAATTAATTCGAATAACTGGAACATTTTACAGAATCTAGTACATTTTCATTCAATCTGATACATTTTGTAAACAAATGTGGTACGTAACAAATTTTTACTATACTTATGTTAGCGAAACTGAAACAGATTTTTTCGAGTGTTAAAGAGTTAGCAATAGTACTTAAATTATTGGAAATTTTCCATAAGGGAGAACAGTATATTTTGGCGCTTAAATAAGATGCAGGTGTACAAAGTTGTACAAATATGTTTTTACTACAATTCAATAAACGTTAAATTTGATTTTACTAATGTCAGCGGCCAGGGTCGGCTTCCGAGATTTTTAAAATCGATGATACAATGTACTGAATGAATAGTGAAATATTGTTCTTGTGTTTAATATATATTATTTATATGGAGTGATTTATGTGGATTTTAAAGAGAGTAACTAAAGTATCTGTGAAAAAATGCTTGTCATTTTTGAACACACTAAATTTTATTTTTAAAATATTTTAAAAAATGTATATTTCAATTAATTCCCGCCTGAGGACATGTAGAGGATCTCCCGTATTTCTGTTTCCCAGGAATTACCGTTTTTCAACGATTGCGAGTACCCTCTAGGTTAAAATATTCCTATATTTGCTGAAATCCGAATGGGCATTTTGTAGAGTCGATTTCGCACCAATTATCTACTTTTATTTGTCAAGGTACTAGAAGGACACTTTTTTAATTTTTAAATTGTAAACAGTCGGCTGTAGTGGTGGTATCCCCCACTCGGGATTACCGGTCTTCAATCTTGCCCAGCGAAAAAGCATAAATTCGATCACATCTGGGAATTACGCTCTCTTGATTTCTGGCAACCGTAAGCTCTTCTCTCTTCTCCACCGACTAGTGAAGTACTCTGTGAGTGACCGTGATATTAAAAGAATATTAAACCGATTATTTTTCTAAGGTAGGAAACCGCAAATTATATATTTTTTTTGAGAAAATAAAACAACTCCAAATCAATCCCACATATAATATATTAATTAAACAAGGCGACCGGTTTCGGCTACAAAGCCATTTTCAAGCCTATAACAAGTTGAGTGATATTTTAACAAAGTTGGTAAAATTAGCTAGACATTATACATACCTAAGATCTTAGCTGGTTTCTAAAGGTGAAATACAATTGTAGATACTAAATCTACTATATAAAATTTAACTTAACATATGAGGTGCAAGAGGTACAGTTGATATTAAAGAGTAATGTTTAAAGTGGGATTAAAGTTACACTAAGTAAGAATTTAAAAAAAAATTTTTTTTTTACTATAATTATTTAAATGTATGTGGGAGAGGAATAGAAGAAATTGAAAAAAATTTTGAAAAATTGAAGAAATGGTAGTCGCCCCAGAGTGGGGTGATCCATTCAAATTGTTTTTGAGGCTTCCACAGATTGGGCTTTTGGATGACCGCGGATTGGTATTGCTCTAAAATTTGTTGTGGAGCTAGTAGAGAACAGATAGAATGGCCAATCTGGCTATTCCTATCCTTGATGTGGAATCTTAAACTGCAATCGTCATTAAGAAGCTCGGGAATTAAAGTGGATTTACCACCAGTAAAAATTATAGTGCCATCCAATTTGGCCTTAAATACAAGCCGCCCAACTAAGGGTAGAAATAAGATATTATTCTTTATCATATGTATTTCTAACGGTTAGATTCATAATCTGACTGACTTTAATTTTTAATTGTATATTCCATTTCGTATTGTTAATTTATAATTTAACTTCAAAACTGACATGCGCACTTTGCCCATGTTAGTGTAACCGCCATTTTATGTATGGTGCGACATTATTGTTCAGCCTTCATTTCGAAAGTGATTCAGTTTGTTTTACAAAGTGTTTCGTCTAAGAATTTGTTATCCACTTTCACAGATGTGGCTTTTGTGGAAATCAAAAAGGAGTCTGCAGGTTCACTCCTATTTTCTCCAACTATTTCTCATCTTTCTACCCTTAGTTGGGCGGCTTGTATTTAAGGCCAAATTGGATGGCACTATAATTTTTACTGGTGGTGAATCCACTTTAATTCCCGAGCTTCTTAATGACGATTGCAGTTTAAGATTCCACATCAAGGATAGGAATAGCCAGATTGGCCATTCTATCTGTTCTCTACTAGCTCCACAACAAATTTTAGAGCAATACCAATCCGCGGTCATCCAAAAGCCCAATCTGTGGAAGCCTGAAAAACAATTTGAATGGATCACCCCACTCTGGGGCGACTACCATTTCTTCAATTTTTCAAAATTTTTTTCAATTTCTTCTATTCCTCTCCCACATACATTTAAATAATTATAGTAAAAAAAATTTTTTTTTTAAATTCTTACTTAGTGTAACTTTAATCCCACTTTAAACATTACTCTTTAATATCAACTGTACCTCTTGCACCTCATATGTTAAGTTAAATTTTATATAGTAGATTTAGTATCTACAATTGTATTTCACCTTTAGAAACCAGCTAAGATCTTAGGTATGTATAATGTCTAGCTAATTTTACCAACTTTGTTAAAATATCACTCAACTTGTTATAGGCTTGAAAATGGCTTTGTAGCCGAAACCGGTCGCCTTGATTAATTAATATATTATATGTGGGATTGATTTGGAGTTGTTTTATTTTCTCATTGAAGATGGCCACATTTGAGAGGTTGGATTCCCTTCATAACTTATATATTTTTTTTACAATTAGTGGGGACACCCGTGCGACCAGTGAAAATTTTTGATTCGTATCAAAGATATTTCATTTCATCCCTCAGTGGGAAACCGTTATTTTTTATTTGAGGCTGGATATAGGCTAGATTCTGAGTGCTCTCATTTTCGACGACTATATCCAATCTCTCTTAGGAAGCGCCCCGTTAACATTAAAGTGAGAGGTTTAACCCGTTTTCAATTTTTTTTATTTTCTTCTTCGGAGATCCGATCCGTCCCCGGGTTAAGAGTGATCTTTGTCCTGACGGCGTTATCTAATTTCCCAAAAAGACGTCTAAATTAATTTTCGCGCCTAACTTCATGTAAGTTTCTTTTCTTTTATTTATTCATTCAGTTGTATTTGAATAATTCCGTTCCCCGTCCACAACTAATTATTGAACGAAGCCCGACGTTTTCTGTAAAATTAATTCACACACCGGCTTGATCGACTTTGGGAAAATCTTAAAATAATCTTTTCTATCACCATCGCCTTCGCTGTCCAAACACCGCGTAAATTCCTATCATTCTCGCTCGACGCAAATTGCCAGAGCATCGGTCGGTCCGAACTAAGATACAGGGACGTTCCGAAAACTTTGATTTCATTTATTTTCTCACATTTGATTACCGTCATATTTAATTAATTTATTTTTAAAATTAATTTTCCGTATACACGGAGTTTCAAAATTCCCGGACCGCTTAGCCTCCTGTGCTAGCGAACCGTAAATATTTCCCAATATTTAATTAGTTTTCAATTGTAATAATTTATTTTTAATAAATTTTCCGAATACAGGGAGCCATTATTATTTAACTAGCTTCAATTGTAATAATTTATTTTTCTGTATATAGGGAGCCGTAATTACTTTCTTGTAATCTCGTTTAATTATATTCATTTATTTTATTTAATTTTCTGTTTACAGCCCTGCCAGAACCGGGCACTACCACCGTTGTTTTTTTTTTGTGTAAATATATATTTTATTACCTATTCCTGTTTTTCTCTTATTGCTGGTTCTTAACCGTTCTCTTTCAGAGTACCGTAGGGTACGAGGTGTAAAGGAGATAAGTGGTTTATTTTTATTTATTCTAGTATAGTGGCTACCTAGCAGTGACCGCCTGGAATTATTTTTACCTCCATTGAGTTTACCTTGAGTACACTCTGGTGTACTACAGGGTCGCAGAGCAAACTGCGTTACCAAAACTGGCGCCTGAGCAACCCCTGTTCGGGAATCACCATCATAGCGCCACACAGACTCGCACAAATGTTAAATCATGTTTTCGATTCAGGTATTACCCAGTTACTCTGGATAGTCGCCCATTGGCCCATAAAAAGTTGTCCCATGTTTAAAAAACTGAACTGGAGATTTTGTGGTGAAATTAAAAGCGAATTATTTCTATAATATTTTTCGAGGTTTGTATTCATTACCTACCTTGAAGGGTTGTACCAAAAATTTGTTTTGAATGTTTATATTACTGAGAAAATCAATGCATGAGTAGAGGTACCTATAGGAATTAACGATACATTTATAATTTAGCCTTCTGCAAATGTGTACTAAAAAAGTTTCACTGGCTCTTTACTATAAATAGAATCAATGACAGTGGTTGAAAGTAACGATGACATGGGGTAATTGTAGCAAACCCAACAGTTGTAATGCGAGGATAAGAGAGAGATAGCAAAAAGTGTTAGGAAAATTACTAGATTCAAATGTACCGCCCTTTTTTCGTGCATGAGTATTGCGAAATTAACTAATGATGGGATATGTGGATTCTCGTCGAATACAAATTTTCTAATAAATGAGAGCGTCGGGCAATCGTATAGGATATGTTCGATGGTCTCATCTTCTTGTTCACACCCCCCACAGAGTGCGGATTCTGATAGCCAGTCCCATACAATAGAGATGCTTCCGTACTTGGCACTGACCAGTCAGAATGTATGTAATCAAATGCGGATTCTATCTAGTCATAGTCAAGTATTTGTTTGCTGTAGTGTTGTCAGAATAATCCCATCTTTCCCTGAATTTCAGAAGATAATGTTTTTTAATTAGATTTGTCACTACCGATGTTGTCAGTCCAATAGAAGGGCCAGGTCCAAAAAGTATTTGGTTGGTTGCCATCTTGTCAGAATCAGCAAGACCTTTGATCTCTCGTAAGGTGACTATTGCTGAATTATCGACTGTGACAACTTTCATCGCCATTCTGGTACAGTAGCGCCATCTTAATTTCATACATTTTGAGGGTCACTTTTTGTAAACAGAGATAGTTCTCCTTACCTCTACACTTCATATACCCACCATTTTATGAAACTGAATTAATGACTTCACTTCATATGCTAATTCTTTATTCATACTTTTGCAACGAATCGTGAATTGTAAAATACTGATTTAGATTATTGATATGTTTCTCAACCATAAGGGTTAATTTAACCCATTTTTTAGCAATACTTCTACTATAAAATTAATTGATACCTTTTGCTCCACATTTTCTCTAAGGTGCAGACTAGACCCTCAACCAGTCGTTTCTCTCCAGTTTGTTGCTCCTGTCTCTATTTGTCAAGTACTTTGAAAGAGTCTTTTTACACTATTGTCACGTTATACGTGTCTTTATTAAAAAAAATGTCACGATTCACGTGTTTTAAATAATTATGGGACTATCTATGTCCCGGGGGTTAGATAACAAAATATATAAATTTGGACCTCAATCGTGTAAGGACTCTATTGCCTTAAACTAGGCTTCGTGGCCATTAACTATATGGGAGGTTTATTCGGCAATTAAAACCTCTGAAGATTATAAAACAAATAGAGTATATATTTAAAATAAAAAAAAATACAAAATAGGCTACAGCTCGACATACACAAAAATGGGCTCAATGTAATAACAAGTACAAAAAAAAGGGAAACTTACCAACTCCACTAATATTTGGGGCACATGTCACAACTCTTGCCTGACTATTAAACTACTATTTAAAATACAAAAAAGATCCCGAGCTGGAGCTGCTACTGGGAATCTCCTACAAGGGGAGGATCCTTCCCTGTGAAAAAGCCCTGCGCATCATCTCGATATCATCTTTATACCTTTTTCATAGTTTATTGTTAATAAAACTAATGTTTAATAATTATTAAATAATCAACCTTGAACATTATTGCGATTCAAAACAAATTGTTGACATACTTAAACAAAGTTTTATGTACAGGATGTTATTTAAATAATTAATTAAAATTAGGAAAAATATGAATTTATACGAAACGTGATACTATTTACTAGCTGCAATTAGTTTAAATACTTATAATCTAGAGCGTTTTCTATAAATTGTTTAGACTACGGTTGGAATATCTTATCGTTCTTTATAACTTTCATTACTATGCATCTGCTATCATCATTAAGAAATCAGCTTAGCGCTCCTTATTTATTTTACCAACCATTAATAATATAATTTATTTAATTTAAATTTTAAAGTATCAAGATTTAATACCACATATCTGCTAACTATAGTGTTCTTATGGTTTCATCAAATTTATTTTTTATGAAAAATTTTTTGTATTAATTCAACTCTTACTTTTGTAATATTTGTATTCCTATCATGGTATTTTTGTATTATAGATCTGAAGATTGTACATAAAGATCGAAACTAGTCGCATTGTATTTGTATTAAAGTTCTTGTGTTCGATTTAAAGTTTTTTCTTTCTTTGAGAATACCGACCACATTTTTGAAGATGGATAATATGTTTTATTCTCATTATTAGAGGGCGGAATTATGCATCAAAATATTCCCAAAATATGCACATATATATACATCGTTTTTACCAAAAATATTTTCTTTTAAGGCTCCAATCATAAGATGTACCATATATCTTCCACAAGCATCTGTTTGCACAGTATAGTATACATAAATAATGCATTTTTTTTTCGAAAATATGCAATATTTTCTAAAATTTTCTGAACGTTGGTAAAATATGCAATGTTTTCTGAACTTTGATGAAATATGCAATATTTTCTGAATTTTGGTAAAATATGCAAAAAATGCATATATATGCATTTTGCATATATTCCGTTCTTTCCTCATTATGTATTGTTCCTTGCAAAATCTTTAAAATAATCTAAATCTATTTCAGGTACAACTTGGACACAAGAAATGGTGTGGCTTTTAGCAAATGACCTTGACTATGAAAAAGCTGCAGAGGTTCCACTAGCTATGAGATTCCCTTTTTTCGAGTAAGTTTTATCTTCCTCAGAAGCACGTATTCTAAAACCTAAACCTTGTAGTTTACAAATAAGTACTTTAATATAATCTATTTTAGATTTAGTTCTTTTGTGCATAGCGAAACAAAAGCAACGTTTCTGAAGGAAAACCAATTCGATGCAGACAAATGTAAAATAATCCAAAATATCGACTATCCCGGTTGGAAATATCTTCATGAAATGACCGAAAGAAGATTCATTAAGACTCATTTACCTTTTAGTCTATTACCACCAAAGTTATTGGAAACAGGCTGTAAGGTATGATAAACGACGAAAAAATAAAATATATACATAAGTAGTTTTTCATAATTTTGGATAAAGCCAGTGGCGGCTGGTGATCAAAATATTGAGGCTCACAAAGTCAGAATATAAATCTAAGTATAAATTTCGGTAAAAAACTTTCAGTATTTTAGAAAGGCATATTATAAACACCCAATATTTTGGCCACCAGCCGCCACTCGATAAAACCAATATTATATAGAGACGTGCTCAAAGCGTCATTGACCAATGGGCATATTTATTCTCTGATTTTCGAGAAGCAATGGGAATTTATTTAATGTACAAAAAATGCATATACAATGTACATTTGTTATAAATCACAAAAGTTTTAATAAGATTACAGTTTTCAAAATAAAAATACGAAACGAATTTCAATTTCTAACGAACATGTCGTACACTAGGACAGATGTAGCTGAAGTCTCCAAGGTCAAATGTGCAGTGAATAAAAGCGTAATACAGTTCTTTACAATTTTTGATATGATCACTTGGATCTTAATACATTATGGTCGAAGTTACGAAGTATGCATTTTGAGACATTTTCAAATGTAACGTAAAATATCGTGTTCTTAGAGCACAATATCGTAAAATTATACATTTTGTTATGAAATATACGCAGAAGGAAGCAGATGAAAATAAACCTCTTATTAAATTATATAACGAGTAGTTGCGTTGACAATAATTTAACACCATTTGTTTTATTTCCTAGTAATAAAGAAACTTACCTTTTTACAATAATAATACATAATATAACTGTTGGTTTAATTAATAATTCTATAAACCTTTTTTGATATACTCTTGTGCCTGTCTCAATCCTGAATGATTAGTCACTCCAATCTCTCTAAGACTATTTTTGTATTCATTGTTTAATTAAGACTTTAAGCAACCACATAGGAACATTTTATACTAATCCTAGACTTATTTAAGCCTTTTTGTTCTGATCAATCAGTCTTTTTATTGACTTCCTGTCCTAGCTTAGTGACTCTGGTCACTTTATTTCGATTTCATTTAGCTCTTTTACCAGTGGTGATTTGTTTTCTGGTGTAGCGACTGTCTTTAGTTCACTAATTCTTGCTGTTTTATTATTTATTTTGCTTTTTTTTATGGGTGTTACCTCAGCTTCAGCCAGACTTAATACATATTTTTCTAGATTCGGTAAAATTATTGTTTTTGATGGGAATTCAGGCCAATTCCAGCGATTTTAAAGTTCTTTTCATATTAGGTCAGACCTAATACATGATCTATTTAAAGCTAGCACTACATTGGTAGAGAGTTAGTATTAAGTATGTTTTCTGACTTTTACTGAGAAAAATGTAATACGATTCTAAAAATCTTTTTTATTCAAACAAGTACTATTTTAAAATAAACTATTGTTAAACACATGTTTGTTGATAACCAAACCAGAAACTTGAGCTGCCGGCTGGTGGGATTCTAGGAACTTCTGGGCACCTCAGCAGTTTCTATGATATAATTCCTCTCTTCCAAGAGAGATCCATTTAGGGCGTGGATCGTTATTCCTCTTCTTCGGTATCGATTTTGTCAATTTCTGGATTTCGATTGCCTAATTTTGAAAAACATGATAAGAGCAATAAAACCCATTGAACAGTGGCGTATACCACACGTGGGTATTGTTTGAAGGGTTTTTAAGACTTATTTGACGGATTCGGTTTTGTTCCTTCTGCAATAGGTGGATCTTGTCGATATCGATTTTTCTGAAACGATTTTGACTGACTTTATTTATCTTAATTTCTGGTAGAAGTAAGGGCTGTCCGTAAATAACGTCGGTTATTTGAGTATCTATTCTTTGTGGTTTAAAAATTGCAACCCTTCGGTACCTCCACAAAATAGGTACCTTTTAAAACTACAAGATCTGACTTTGCACAGGTGATTTGGATCTTCGTTTTTCGAGGAAAAACTGCAATATAGTGTGGCAGAATTGATTTGTTCGATTACCTCAGAACTGATTTGGATTAGAGTAAGTTCAGATGCAGAGCAGTCTTGATTATTCAATTGTAGTATTTGGTGGATACAATCATCTACATTAGCTGTGACAATAGATTTCAAGTTTGTGCACAAATATAATAAATTCAAATTTTTGCGTTCCTCGTCCTCGTACTCATAGTTATTTTTTTGTATTGCCAGAAAAGATTTGGAGGGGACAACGATAAAGTTATTTTGAGTATAGGTATTGAATAAAGGAGAAACTAAGAATAAGTTTTTGGATATGTTATAGGAAAGTAAATCATAAATACTATCCGATTGTTAAAATAATAAGAGTCTCCTATAATAACTCATATGTATTTATGAAAATTTTGTGGATCGGCATCGAACAATAAGTTACTTTGTGAATATGACTTTAATAGCAAGTTTGTGATAGATTCTAAATCTTCTATTTTTAGTATGCTATAACAAGCTGTTTTTAATCTCGCAAAGTTTATTGAGTTTTCTAAATTATTTAACATTTCATTTAAATCTTTAAATCATTAAAAATATCCGGAGAGTCGTTTACCTACATATTTTTCTAGTTCGTTATTAAGATCATTAATTATTTGAGCCATTTGTATTTCGTTTTGCTTTATTAAAGAGATACTATAATTATTGTAATCATGTATTTATTTTAGTAGTTAGGGATATCTATTTATTCAGCATTTCAGCTATATCTTTTTGATTTGAGTTTAGTAACACAATAGCATCGTTATATCTTTTGCCGTCTTCTGCGTCTAGATTTCCCGAAATACTTTTAAATATAGTACCTCCTAGACCTTTTAAGATTCCTCTGAAGTATTTTATTAGAATGAAGGTAATTTGTTATTTTTAAGTTTGAATGTTTATTTTCAATTACTAAAATTATATATTTGAAATAATTATTTATTTTAATAAGTTCGGTTTCAATTAGGTCTAAATCAAAATAATGGACAATCGAATGGTATATGTGGATTGTAATTTAGCATATCCTAATTTATAAAGTACCTAATATACCAGGGTTGGATTCCAGACTTGTTATTCTAATTTCGTGGGCTGCGATAGTACATTTTTTGATTAGATAAAGTTTTTTTTTATGGCATGTAGAAAACACTTTTTTAAATGAATTAGGATCTTTCTGTTTTTTATTTTAATAATTTAATACTTTGGTACGCTCATTATTTTTAAGAGGATGACAACCGAATAGTGAACCTACTTTGTTGATGCGTGCTCCAGATTTGTAATGTTGTGAAGGTTTTCATTAGTTTTTTCTATTTTTTTTTTTTTTTAGTTATAAGTTCATTCTGTTTTTTGTAAATTCCGATAGTCATTTCTTTGTGATCTGTCTCATCAATTTCATGTTTGTCGCAATTATCAATAATCAATGGTAAAGTTATAGCTTTCAAAATTATTTTCAACTGGAGTACTTTTAATTGTGTATAATACAGTACAATTTATTACTTTGCTCGATTTGTCACAAATATCAACGGTCGTCCAACCGTTAATCGAAATTGTTAATGTACTCGGTATTATACAATTACTGATAGTTTGCTCCGGCACCAATATTTCTCCGGATTCAATAGTTACGGGGATTTTTATCCGCGAAACTGAATTAGGTATCAGGTATCAATTTGAGTTATATTCCTCTTAGCGTGGCCTTAAGAGGAGTATTTACTTGGCTTTAGAGCAGAGCATGCAAGGGTTTCGTAGTACCCCCACTTTTAAAGTTTATTTTTGACATATTTTAAAAGAAAAAAATATGTGCGTGTAGGTAAAGGTTCAATCTGTGCTCTTCTGGAAACACTTTTTCAAAATTTCAATTTGTTTTTTCTAAAAAAAAAAAAAAACACAAAACTCGACTTTTTTGATCCATTTTCTCAATTTTTTTAGAAAAAACTAAATTGAATTTTGAAAAAGAAGTTCCAGAGGAGCATAGATTTAACCTTTATCTACACGTACATATTTTTTTCTTTTAAAAATACTTAAAAATAAACTTTAAAAGTGGGGTACTACGAAACCCTTACATTGCAAGATTTTTCGTCTGGCAAGTGGCGCCTCTGTTAGATTTTTAAGAAATTAATATTTGTGAATGAAAACAATTTACAAAATATTTTACTGATGTTTTACGAGGGATAATTAAAGTTTACGTATTTGTAGGTACACCTTATTGTTTTACGTAAATCATTTCTGTAATACTAATATAGACATATTTATATAATATGCAATGGGTTTCATAGTACACCAATTTTACGGATTATTTTTTATTTTTTGATAAATTATGTAAGTACAGGTAAAGGAGTCACTTTTTGAACATTTGAATCGGTTTATTTTGAGAAAATGTAAGAAGATATCTTTCTATCGAAAAAAAAAAAAGAAAACAAATAAAAATGCTAGAAGAGAACAATATATGTTTTTAATTTTTACAGGAACATTTATTTTTCTCAATAAAAATTAAAAAATACGTTTAAAGCTTTTTCGTCTAGAGGGCGACACCAACAAAATGTATATCCTTTTCTACTGTTTACAAGTGATAAACGTACGCAAGTGATTTGAATTTATTTTGTTTTATGTCTGTACATTTTGTTATTTTTACATACAGTAATTTCGCTCAATTATTTTAAATTAATTTTATCATTTATTTATTCAAAAAATATATCCGAAATTAAAAGGTATACAATGAGATTTGAATTATAAATTAACTTTTATATTGCACGGGAATTTTTTTTAATGAATACATCTTCGAGTTAAGAATAATGAATTCCAGCATGTTAACAACTCTTTAAGCTGTTAAAGTAATGTATATTTTTTCGAACTTAGTAAATAATTTTTTTTTGCTTTTGAGCGTGGCTTTGATCTCTCACACTCTATGATGCGCCTTGCAAAAGAAGATTTTCTAAAAAGTTTGATAATGTCTATAGATGAGAAAAAAATGAATGTGACAAGAGATCAAGCTGATTGTGGATTGTAGCAAAATGAAAGACGAAAACGAGTCACTGTTTCAAAGTTTGGAGACATTTGTA